TTAGAGACTCAAAGATGATTAACTTAGTACAAAAAAAGTTTTCTTTAGACAATCACTAGAAAATTTCTACTTTCGCATATATAGTAATTTATATATAGAACCGCATCACGTTTCACTATGATCATTCTTTAGTTGACTGGAGAATCATCAAGTAAAGTATCTTTAATATTAATTTCATAATTATTATTTGTAGACAGCGACTTAACAATATAACACTGACCACTAGGCATTTTAAAACTTTCTAAATTTGAACTATCAAGTTCTTGGCATCATTGTTCTTTTTGTCGTAGTTTTATTCTTCTGATCATCAAATCAGTAGCTCTATATTCGAACTCAGCATCCATTAAGACTGCCTGTAAAGTCTAAACTAGAGTGTCATTTCGATGATTTTGCTTGCCACTTAGATATGTATACTTGAATTTTTTATGCCAAGATTCAATATAATTGGTTGTATTTATTTCCTGATGTTTATATAATCGATAGGCATCAACACATTTTTTATGATTTATATAATATTCTCTTTTTAGATATTCCACCCATTTTGATTCACTATAATTAGCCCACTATTGAAGATAGTTATCATATATATTTTGTATTTGTGAAGTATCTCAAAGCTATATTATAGAACCAAGCCCATCTAATGCATCCTTTTGTGCTACTTGTTTCTTTAACTATTTACAAGTACCATTATTATATTCTACAAAATAATTGTTATCACCATTAATTTTACTTCTATTCTTTTGCCAGGCATTTTATATGCTATTGGCAAAGTAAAATTCATGCATTAGGAAAGATTTCTCTAATAGCTTTTTGCTGGGTATCATCATAATCTGTAAGAAAGGTGTTAGATTTCTAATTTATATTTATATTTTTATATTAGTAAGCCAATAAATTAACATTTCACTAGCTTTTTTTTCTGAAATTAGATATGCTACAGGCACACCCTGATTGTCATTGTCATCCTGCATAAGCATAGTAAAAAGATGTATATTATGCGATGTTGTGCCATATATCTCGTCTATGCAAACAGTTTGGGCGCTCTTTGATTTAAGTATTTGCTTCTGGAATTCAGTTTGAAATCTATATAAAAACCCTAAATTCGAATTCCAGGTAAGATTACTATAAATATATGATCTGTTCTCTTGAGATAAGGCGATCTATTCATTTACTGATACATCTTCACCATAACCTTCTTCATTATTACCTAAATAAATTACACCTTTTAGTCATGAAAATAAAAACATTCAAATAATTAGTAAGTTAACTAAATTTTAGTATGCAATTTATTTTTTTTTTATTTTTTTTATTTTTTTATATATTTATTAATTTACCTTTCATTTTATCATAGACAATATTATAGATGTCGATATAGAAGAGATATGCATCCCGTCTTTGGGTTAAGAGCAAAAAACTTAAATTATCATTGTTATATAATTGATTGACTCAGTTATGAAACATTGATACAATTTGTGTGGGTTTCATCCCATCTCTTGCCCTTTCTCTTATCCACTCCTTTGTCTGTTGAGACAAATGAATATTGTACAGATCTTCATCAGTTCTAGACGCAAGTCCATTATGAAGTGTATAGTGGATAATTTGAACTGCATTACCCTCTTCATTACAACATTTTTGTACTTTTAGGTAGGATTTATATCCTACCTTCTTGGATGGTTTCTGAATGGGTTGAGGTTTGTTGCAGCCTGATAAATATGTTGAATTCTGATCAGCAGAGCAAGTTACGGTTCTAGGATTTCTAGCACAATGACATAAATATTTGGCATTTAACTCATATTCTTTATTCTTCCATCTGAGATGCCGAACATAATGGGCTTCAGAAATATTAGGAAGAACATTTTTGATCTAATCTTCATACCAAAGACATTTAAATTCATAAAGCCTAAAATAATCAGTTTGGTGTTCGGGAAAACTTCCCTTCATAGTAGGAGTATTTAGGTTAAGATGAGTATATATTTCTATATTATTATTTGAATCTTTAATTTTTTTATCAATTTGTTTGTCTTTATAAATATCTTCATCGATTATATCAATTGGGTCAAATTCACTAAACATATTAAATTTTTTTGAATATATATTTTAAAGCTAAAAAATAAAAAATCTCAATGTTAACACGAAGGCGATATAACATTGCAATTACCTCATTTATAACTTATTCAACACACTAAATAACAAATATTTTATTACTATATTTTATCTTTAAATAGGTATTTGGAGGTATTGGCATGATAGAAGTATTTTTTTAATTAATTTTTATCATTATTTAATTTCATAATTTTTATTCTCACGAATTCAGCAGGCAATCAAGGAATTGATATGCAACAGGAGGCTTTTTTTTGTCTTTTAATTTTATCTCTTTTATTCTTATAAATTATCAAGTAATAGAAGCATTTGCATACAACAGAGTATGTTTTATTCATAATTTTTTTTTATTTTTATTCTTTATTTTAATTTTTTTGATCTTTAATTTTATATTTATTTTCACGAATCAGCAGATAATAAAAGCATTGGCATACAATGGGAGTATTCTTTAATATAATTTTTATTTTATTTAATTTTTTAATCTTTATGATTTGGCAGAGACAAGTTAGTATGTGCATTTTTTGTTAGAATATCCATTAGTAAGAAACAAAAAATGTTATAATAAAAAATTATTTTTTATTAAATTTATTATTTTAGTACATTCAGACCTCTGTAATGCATTCTCTATAATACACAGATAATCTCATAAGAAGTCTATGCATTTTGCTCTCTATAAATGCATATTCTCCCTAAATACACATTTCAATTTTTTTTACTATGGTTCCAAGGAAGCACACTTATGGATGCCTGATTGTATAAGTTTTAATATCAAGTAAGTTATAAATTTATTATGCAATAACCAGAGAAAAAGAACCTAACTGTGGGGACCAAGGACAGTTCACAGTATTTCCGAGCCATCTGGATTGGTAGTTTGGAGTAACAGGAGTACAGGAATGGTCTGTATAGTGGGTGCTGAGGTTTGGGCGAACTCTACAAGGGCCAGGTAGTTAGGTGGTGTGGTCTGCCTGTAAAGGCTTAAAACCTATCTTGCTAATGTGTCTGTGAAAGGGATTGGTGGTGCGACCTGCCTGTAAAGATATAGAATCTATCTGGTAGTTTCTATCCAAAGAAAACTAGGTCTATACATTAGATGTTGGTAATGGGCAGCTCTAGTGACGATGCCTCAAGGATAAAATAGTTCTTTAGGAAATAGATTAAGCATCCGGAACTTCTTGACTGACTGATATAACAGGGATATACCAGTGACACAGGTAGAGTTGTATTACAGAGGGTTAAACGGGTAATCTTATAGTTAAATTACAGGTATAGCACCTTGTGTAGAGTCTAGTAATAGGCAAACTACTTAATTAGGTGCTCAAAAGGCGCAGGTATGGCTAGAATGTACTCTCTAATGTATAGGGTTCCATAAAGCATTAGCCACAAGTCTCCAAACTCAACAATACTTGAATAAAAACCTTAGCTTTGAAGAGGCTAGTTAGTAAAAAAAAAAAAAATTTATTATGCAATTGTTTATCATTCATAATTATTTCAATTAAATAAAATTTAATAATGCAAAATTTTAATTTAATAATGATTTATTTATTAATAATGATTATTTATTTATTTATTTAATAATGGTAATTGGAAGTAACAAATCACCAACTCTTCCTGACGATCACTTGTACCAAATTTTCTCTAAAAACAATTGCACTTTTCTCATTATCTTACTAAGTAAACCTATTCTGACTGCCTAAGTAAAATTGTTCCTGACAAAATTTTATATATAGATGGCCTAGTTTTATATCTCTAAAGGCCTTCATTAATGAGATATAACTAAATTTGTTTTTTTGTTTCTTTTCTAAAAAACTCAAATTTTATTAAGTAAACTGCCTTTACTTATTAAAACAAAAAGATTCAGCTAATCTCTAGCTTCATTTTGATATATAGCACATCAAAAACGGACCAAAACTGACAATTTTATAGCAAAAATACTTTTAAACTCCTTTGCAAAAATTGCACTTTATTTTTGCAAAAATTTTTTGCTTTTTTGGGGAAACCCTGCCTCCCTAGGACGCCTAGACCTGCAGATCCTAGCTTACAAATCAATATTACAAATTAGTTTACACAAATTTTATTTCTGTTTCATCTATTTTTTAACCAAATTACACAACTTTTGTTATACGTTGATTACGTCGATTCTGTCGATCACCCACTGTCACACCAGGTGACTTCTCATTTGTCACATCCCCTTATATATCACACCCCTTATATATCACACCCCTTATATATCACACTCTTATTTGTCACTCCCCTTATTTGTCACTCCCTCTGAAAAAAAATTAATAGTTCAACTTAACATCAAAATGCCTACCTTAGCTAACTTCCAAGAGCCAGATTCCTACGATATTGACTACTATTACTCTAGATATAAAGACCGTCATGGTGTAGGACTCAATGAAAACAAGCCTCAATCACTTCGTGTTCTTCCTGTTGATGCAAAACCCGACTACTGCGATAACAACATTACTTTAAAGTCCCTCTACAACCTGCAATCTCAACTTGCTTGTGTGGTAAATACCACACAAGTTTTACTTCTCGATTCTATAAAATTAATCATCCTACAACAATGGGTCAACCCCAATCACAACTACAAACTAGGTCCACAATCTCTGCAAACAGTTTCAAAAAAACTGACGAATTACCTGCTTCACCTATTACCAAAATTCCAGATACATCTGACTCATCCCAAACCAATCTACGTATTCTTTTTCCCAACTTCCAAACTGACCGCGCACCTATAGCTATTCTTGCTCACTCACATCACTATCATACCTGCATTATTTGCAAAGTTAAAAACATTCTCTGTGTACTTACCGAAGATTAACAAAATCATGCACCAGACTATACAACTGCCGCTATCTTTAAAAATGCTTTAATTCAAGAACTTGCTTATCCTAACTTCTCGATATTAAACTCAAACCCATTACACCAACATCTCCTCTTGGCTTTAACCACAAAAAAATAATTGCCTTTTATAAACTTTCTCAAATGTCTGCAAAGGACAAAATTAATCTTTACAAAGAAATTTTTCCAAAAAAAGCTAAGACAAATCAATTTACTAGTGAACAAAAGCAAAAACAAAAACAAAATCAAACCTCGCGAGATACTACTAATGATATAGACTGGTTTAAAGAATACCCAGTTACTTCATTCATGGAGCTAAACAACAAATTTAATACTCAAATTACTTACCAGCTATTTGATTTTATTAGACCGCATCTCATCGATGTTTATCCTGGCAAAGTTATTAAACCAGCCTCAAACAATCAACGAGAATCTAAATTTAATTACATGTACCTTGTTAAAGTCTTAGCAGGGAAAAAACCTAAATTTCTTACTGATTTCATCCACAACAGCAACCCCACTATTAATTCAGACATTGAAATCCCTTTTGAACTTCTTCTTTCTACCTTCATTATACTACTCAAGCAATTTACTACTACTCTATTTACACAACTTAACTATTCTAAATTCTTCTCATCCTATAATTCTATCCCACCTTATTCTATTTCTAACAAAAAACAGGTAGCACTTAACCTAGCTCGCTTACATCTTATTTTACATGACAAATACAAAACAATCAACTCTAACAAATTCCATGAAGATCTTAACATTACACTAATTCATTTTAAGCTCCATTACTATATTAGTGAGGATAGCATCAATCAACCACTATTCAAAATTCAAAATGATCCCAAATTCAATATTAATATTTCATTTAATATACCCAAAAAACATTTCCTAGAAACCTTCCAAATACCTTTTCTTAAAAAATATTTACCAGACTTTGAATCTTGGTTTAACAAATTCTTTGATATCTACAAACGGCAATTTACTAATATTGACAAACAAAAAACATATAATCATATCAAATACCAAATTGGTCTTAAGCTTTCTAATATATGTAAAGCACTTCTTCCTAAAGAATTTGCTATTACTAGTGTTAATTCACTACATGAAAGATCTTTCTTATGTTTTAAAGCTGCACTATATCACATCCATACTTGTACTATCGAAAACTGCACTACTCTACCTAAAGACACTGAACATAATGTTAAAAATCTATCTATATTATTCTTTAAGAAATCATTTAATCACTTTCCTGCTCCTCCTAAAACTACTTCTACAACATCCAAAATTGTATACACACATCCTGACCTTGACTTCTCTACATTTGACAAGGATAAACAACACGCTGCAACATTTCAAAAACCTACTTCAATTTCTTTCTACGCAAACTTGCTACTGAGACTGAAGAGAAATTTATGGAGCTAAATAAAGTAGTAACAGATTCCTCTCGTGAAAGTTACTATTTTTATAGCTATCTCAATGCATTTCTCAACACCGCTACTAAAAATGATCAAATCAACAATCTCTATCTTCAACAAGCAATTGATAAAATCACTAACAAGCCCATCAAAACTGAC